ATGCATGTTAAATAGATCAAGCTTTAACATTTGATTTAGCTCCTTTAATAATTATTATATACAGTATTTTTAAAATATTAAATACATATTAATATACTCAGACAATGCTTTTTTCCCCCTAGGAATATCAGCCGCGTAATGACATTTGCCTCCTAAGACGTTTCTAATAAATAGGAGTCATTTGTTATTTGCCAATGAAGATGCTCTTGTCATTTCTTTTTAATTAGAGTGTGGTTTAATTTCTACAAAGAGCTTCTGGGGGGGTTAACAAGAGTGTTTGTGTTCCAGACTCTCGGTGTGCTGAACAGTCACCAATGCCGAGTGCAGAGCTCACACGCAAACCCTTTGGGTCTGATCCACAGAGTCCCAGGCGCCGTGTTGCTGCTGTTGTTGTTTCAGACACATTCATCCCGACCTGGACAGAGCACACTAGTGGTGAATGAGTCTGGGGTTGTAATTGTTTTAGACAATTACAGTGAACTTACCCTTTAAATCTTACGACTTTGATCTTTAAGAACTGTTTATCAAATCCATTGTGACCTCACAATTACAACTTGGATTATGTCACTTTTTAAATAAAAGTTGTGTGTGTGTGTGTGTGTGTGTGTGAGAGATCTAACTTGATCAGAGTTATCAAAATGAAATAGTCCTCCAGAAACTGAACTAACATATGTACATATTTACATTTTCATATACTGAAATATTACACAGCCCACCTACATACTGGGCCAATACAATTTTAATGTGAGTGTTAAATATGTGTAAACATTTACATGTATTTACATTTGTATGTAGGCTATACGTGTGAGTCCTGTTTTGTATTATTCAGGTCATTTGATCTTATTTTTTTAAGTTTGTCCTTTTTTTAAAAAATGTAGTTTAAAATTCATTACTTATGACATTTGCTGCTAGGCCCTAGGTTCCCCCCGTATTTGAATTCTGTACTTATGATTATTCCGACATTACATGGCTCCAGGTTTGTTGTAAAGTAGTCTGATTGAACACAGATCCATGCACCATGTCAGCCCAATACCCACAAACTACCAGAGACGAATATATCTGCAAACTAACAGCCACACAGTGAACTTGGGGCTGAAAGCACACGATCACTTTGATTCACTTCCAACTCTGGTGTGCAAACAGAAACCAGAGAGCTATTGTTTCTTCGACAACAAACAGAACCGTGAGACTACAAACAAGACTCGGGGCCGGTTGTCAGGCCCGGCATTTAACGATTATCAGCCGCATTGCACAACACACCACCGGTATGACTGGCAGGCCCCGTTCAAAACCACATGTACGGAGGAGCAATGCATGAACGCACAGCGGGACGAAGCACTCAGCTGAGCCTATGACAGGAAGTAGAGTCCCTGAATGGAAGGAATAGACACAGGTGACGCACCGGAAGGAAGATAATTAGCGCAGAGGTCGCATAAACACTCGACTCCCAGACGCGGCGCCTCTCATATCAAATGATGCGTTCACATGCACAGAACATTGCACATGCTCATTATACCTCAGTCATTTGGATTCGGATGGATACATTAACATGAAGTCTCGAAAGATTACTTAGGGGAACTCATAAGTAAAAGATTTAAAGGGCACGTGAATAAGTAAACACGTATTAGAAACCTCAGGTCAAAGTTGAAAGACAAATGTGGATCATAGGAGGATGGATGGAAGTCACTTCACAGTGCTTACATGCCTCAGTATCCCAGCTCATAGGAGCATGATTTTACCCATATATTTACATACTAATGAGGTATTCACATTCAGGTGAACACATCCAGTGCCGTATGGAAGATCCACTGAACATTTATGCAAGATAAACATCTGCCTGTGACATAGGTCTACGGGTTATATATAATATATACTGTAATACTAGCTGCAGGTAGACATTCTTTGTCGGAACCTTGAGAAGCTTTTTTCAGCTCCGTCATTCACACTTTCATTCTAGCCAGCTTTAGAAGGTACACAAGGTCAGTGAGAAACTTTCTATTCAATAAAGCACTGGCTCTAGCGAGAGCCTTTTGCGTTTTTTTACGTTACCTGAAGGTCAGCCTGTAGTTGCGTGGCACTGCCAGTCCACGGCCGGCTGACTTCCGACGGTCGACTTCAGGAGCACCGGCGTCGCAGCTGAAGTGGTGTTATTATGGCACGGATGTGCCTCCGAGCGAGGTTTTGCACTCGGCGGCTCACGTAACCGCAGGTGGGTTGAGTGGAGGGGCATTCAGTTGGTTGCAATGTGCAACCGCACCGCTAGGAGGCACAAAATCCTACACTGTCCCTTTAAATGAACACCATTTCCCCAAAAACCTTTCAGATTTAACCAGTTTGGGTTTTTTTTTTTAGACAGCAGAGTGAGCGCGGGTATCACGTATAAAGGAGAAAACAGAAATTAGCATGACGCATTATGTAAAATAACAATGGAAGCTTTGGATATCTGTATGCTAATAATTTAATTGTTTGTTTTTGTTGAAATTACATTTTCAAATTCCAATAGCAAGTGCTGTTGTAGTAATTCATTTATCTGAATTTAACAATTAGAGAAAGCCTCAAAGTGTGTACCGCTAGCTCATAGGGAGTCCTTTTGTCTCCTAGTCTACACCCAACCCGACCAATGACCTTAACGAGAGACGACTGATTGGGGCACACAAAAACAACACTTAATATAGTTTACCAAGGTAAGAAATGTCCATTTCTTTATTACATTCAACAGTACAGTACACTAAAATTGCACATTTTCACCAGATATAGCAGCATTCTGACTGGCAAATGGACTAATCAATAGGCACACCCAAAACATTTAAATAGAAATACACACGTCCAAATGTGTCGCGGCCACTTTCTGACCATATTCAAAATTCCATTGAAGCTATTTAATTTACATGCCCCATAAAACAAGTTCTACGTAGCTAAAACACAGTCCCCCCCCCCCTCCAAGACTTGTGATTCCAGTGGCAAGAAAAGACAAGTCAAGTCGACCCCAGCAGCGCCTGTCTTCTTAGTACAATATCAAACGAACACAAAATCACCCGTTTTATACGCTCACACAGTATGTGCCGTTCAGTGCATTCCAGGAGTTATAAAAGTGTTTTCATTTACTTTTTTACAGTTTCCTTCAGAAGACTATACTTCACTTAAACCGTTCCTTTTATTTCCCAGAATGACCTCCCCAACCATCCTCAGAGAAGTCGTTTGTACTTTGTGTCGAGTAGGCGGAGAAAGAGCCGTGGCTGTCGCATTACGAGAGCAACACAGCGAGTTCACCCAAGGTAGTATCTCTCAGATGGAAATGTCTCAGCGCTGCATTTTGGTCTACCGAATATAGAGCTCCAATTTGAAATACCTTTTGTTTTCCGAAAGCAACGTGTCGGTAGAACCAAATAATGAAAACTGACAATTATCAAAAGCTGGCGTCAAATATTTGGACAATTTTGTATTCTTGACTTCTAGTTCCCGATTTCAAAAAACATTTTGCCAACTTTTGACTTTCGGCAAAAAGCTTGTGTTTTGACAACATTAAACACGAGAGAATGTTGGTATTGGAAAAAACAACAACCTTCTGGTACTATCATCGAGCCTTTCTACTGAAGAGGCCGTTGGTGGAGATGCGCGTCTCCGCCGCCTGTATAAAAGAGATACACGGTCCTTTATCTACAATTACTAAATCGAAGGCAATTGTACCCGTTGTTTGGTCTGCTTTTTGAGACAACAGCCCGCACAGTCGCTCTTCACTCGGTACTTCTTGATATACAATGAAATGAATGAAAAGGTCTGCACACACACTCAAAAGGCAACTAGACTTCCAGTGGTACAAGACCAGCGCAGATTTTGCATTAGGATTTAAATCTAAAAACTTCAATTCTAAATCACCTGCTGTAAACTGTAACTGTAAAAATGAAGCATGGTACTGCGCCTGCACCAGCAGCCAACACGTTTTTTCAAAATGGGAAGCAAATGGCGAAGGAACCCGACCACAACGAGAGGTATGACAATTGTAGGTTTCACCAGTGATGAAGCCTCTTTGATTGGATGCAAAAAAAAAAAAAAAGGCCTTCCACACAGTAAGTCCAGTTGCCTCGACCAATCTGATGTCCCATGACCTACTGAGAACCTTCATACATTGTTGCTGAACCTACGATGACAACGGTGAGTCAGATCGACATCAGCACTGCATTAAAACACTGCAGGGCTTTTCAATGCACAGGGCCGGAGAGAGGAAATGCGAGGTCGTCCGGACAAAAAAAAAAAAAAAAAATTGACCCCAACTCAACTCTCGCAATGTCATCTGGCAAAGTACTGCACTGGCCAATCAAAGCGTGCACTAGTGGATTCATCTGTAGTGAGAACAGTTCAACTCTGCCATTTACCTCGCAGTCGTCAAGATAGGGGAGAAAATGGCGACGAGTAAACTTTCAAGTAGAGCTGGGTATTTAACTCGATGCCTTCTAGCACAGACTATATTGTGTGCACTGTGTTCAGATTTGTTAAGTTGTTGTCAGAAGGCCCTCCCCTAAAAAAGTGAAGATTTAGTTCATATTTTGCCAATTTTATGCTGTATTTTCATTTACAAAGTTCTTGTTAAGCGGTTTGTGTTTAACACATTTGGCTTCTTTTGTCAAATAAAAAAAGGGTTTATTAGAAAATCATGTTATAGTCTTCAAGAATGTACTATTTGGACCCATTACAGTTAAAAACAATAATAATAAAGATATTATGATAAAAACCACGGTGAACAAATGTTTCAGTACCACCGATGTTTGACAAAAAGTAAAACTTCCTGGATTGTGGTTCATTTTTCCACTGGTACCTGTAGCAACAAGGCCCCCTTGATTTCACTCTGAACACCTGCCAACAGAAGTATACCACCAAACAACACAACAGGTCCAGAACTGCAAGGTACATTATGTTTTTAACAGTGCTTAAGGGTGGATTTCTTTCCTTTAGACCACCGAGCGATGCTCTCCGCACACGTACACCGCGCTCGGCTGTATGCGCCTCTTCGTGTTGCCCGGCAGCTGAGGAAGAAACTTGAAGTACTTGGGCATCAGGTCGAGGCAGGCGTCGCGGAACTTCTTGATCCGCCAGTAGTAAATAAGAGGGTTGAGGGCCGACTTGAGGTAGCACAACCACAGGACCCACGTGCTGATTTGAAAAAAGCTGTCTCTGTGGTAGAAGCCGTCGCTGAACGTGGCTACCAAACTGTAGGCGGTGAAGGGGGCCCAGCACACTGTAAACACGGAGAAGAGGACGAGGATGGTGGTGAAGGCACGGGTCTTGAAGCTCATGTCTATGTTCATTTGGAAGGGCCTCTGGAGGCTCAGCAGGCCCAGTTTGCTGGCCTGGCTCAGACAGATGCTGTCCGGATGGCTGTGGATGCGGATGGCGTTGTGGCGGATGGTGTTCAGGATCCCCATGAACGTGTACAGCATGACCATGAAGGGGAAGAAGAAGAAGGCTAGCATTATTACCAACACATAGGTGTGGTAACCGGGCTCAACGCTGTATCCAAATACACACTGAGGGGCCCTGGGGGGGATCTGTAAGGGAGGGGAACCGACAGCCAGGGGGAAAGAGAAAACGAAAGAGAGTCCCCAAGTGACCACTATGAGCACTTTAGCTCTCTGTGGGCTCAGCTTATCTTGCTTCTGGACAATAATGAGGAAACGGTCTATGCTTATTATAAGCAGTATGGCCACGCCCTCCATCACGAAGAACCAAAAGAGCATGGCCGAAACGCGGCAGAAAACTTCCCCAAAAATCCACTGGGTGGTCACGACGGTGACCAGGGCGAAGGGCATGTTCAGGACGGCCAGCATCATGTCCGCGAACGCCAGGCTCGCCAACAGGATGTTGATGGCCGAGCGCATGGCGGATCTCTGGTACACCATCAGGCACACCACCATGTTCCCCAGCAGAGCCAGGAGCAGGACGGCGACCATGGCGACGCAGAAGAAGACCTGTAGGGGCAGGCCAACACCTGTCTGGCTCGCCGTCGGCGCGGCCGGCTCCGGGGACGACCAGGAGCCCGCGGAGATGTTATCCATCGACGGCCTCGCGGAGAGGTTCAGCAGCCCCGTGACGAGGCAGCAGAGACTGGCGTTGACGTCCCCCGCCTCCGGAACAGTAGTGGAGTGAACCATTCTTCCCCAGGGCGGACCGGCATCGTCGCTGGTGAGCTCACGTTAAACGTGATGCCGTAGGTGCGGATATTCCCGGCCTCACGCAACATGGCAGCGTCTCCATGGCTGCAAGACCCTAAAAATGTACACAACAACGTAGTGAGTGCCAAGTAAGTCAAAAAACAGGGTTTCTGAGACCAGATTACAGCAGATTACAATGGAAACACCCATTGAAGTTGTAATGATGCACTTAAAGCAGTGTTTGGATGCTAAACGTAGTGCTCAAAGGGTTTGCAGCCTTTTCCATGGATTTTACGCAGACTGCTTCCCTTCCTTTAACAGAAGCTAATCACAATTTGTTCAGCTTCCAATTTTGTAGGTATCAAAGCACCAGGGATTCAATTACAATGTCATGATTAAAGATGAAATGAACCGTGGAACTCGCACACTTAAGTCTTCCCTTTGTTTTTTTTTAGAGAATTCTCTAGAACTTGGTACATCAGAAAATGTGTGCCGGCTGAATAATTTGACCTAAAATTACCATTTCAATCACTCAACCCCGTGTTACCTCCAAGTCTTGAGGAAAACGTTGTTCTTCTCGCATGCATCCGCGGGGATGGAAGATCACAAAATCCGGTCGTGTGCTCACTTCTTCCACCGGCATGCGAGAAAAAGTGTTCTTCAAGAATTTAAAACTCATTTGTTTAACCTGTACACGAAGATAAAAGGTGAGAACCGCAAATTGACGTTTTCAGAGAACATCTAACGTACTTGTTTGTGTATGAATGAAACAAACGAGATACAACATGTTGATTAGTGGTCTTTAGAAGCGTTGGTAGGCATACTTTCTAAACTTTGGACAGAGCCATGCTAGCCATTGTTTATGCTAAGCTAGGCTAACCCTGTCCTGTCAACAGCACTTAACACACAGACATGTCCTCTCAGTTTGTCTCAGAAAGAGAAAGAATAGTGCATTTCACAACAATGCAACTCGTAAGCATTGGCCTAGAAAGAATGAAAACATCTCCCCCATGTTTGCCTGAAGATGTGATAAGAAACCCTTTTAAAGTGCTTTTCTTAACTGCTGCCAGCAACAAACAGCCAATGTTCAACTGGGGACAAGTCAAATGCTGCAATAAAACACCCTTATCACTTGTATAAACATTGGACGCTGTTATTTCAGACCGCCTGGCTTCATTTACAATAAGCAGCAAAATGCCAAATAATAAATGTGCTGTGTAGAAAACAGTCCTGTTGGAAGTACTAAATGATTCATTTGCACATAAATGGCTTTTTTTTTTGTAGTCCTGTGTGGGTGTGAAAATCAAGCAAATGCAATTATGGCCAATTATTATGAAAACAGTGCATCTCATGTCTTTAATGGAGTCATGTTAAAAAAAAACACAGGCTGGGATGCTGCTCTGATACCTGGATATGTGTCACTCAACAAATGTTATCTCAAGTGTTATCTCAACGTCACCAAGACAGTCAAGAGACAAACGGGCTGCAGTGAGGAGACAAACGGGCTGCAGTGAGGAG